AATGTTTAATGTTCTCATTATTGGTTGCTCTGTTGTGTATATTTCTCTGTCAGCGCTGCTGAGCCCATCTGAACTGCCAGAGCACTTCAAAAGCCTCAGGTCATCCGTCTTCCTCCTGACGCCCTGAATGTTCAGCCTCAGCTGAGTGCTGGTGATTTGTTATGACTTTAGAGCCAGCTGACAGACAGGTCTCCTATAAAAAAACATGCAGCCATTTCCCTTTTGTCGTGCAGTGAAAGCATCACTGCTCCTGTAATGGGAAGTGGGGTGGGAGGGACTGCCACAGGAGGCTGGCACCTGACAGTTGTATCATCTTTCTAATTTCCAGACAGGATGACACAAAGTATTTTGTCTTTCTTTTTCCCCTTTATGTGGATTTATTTTTKGGGGTTTTGGTGTCACAGACTCTTACAGGTCACCATCTGTTGTGGAGGGCCACAGGGGTAATAAAAAGCTTCAGCTGATCACTATATTAAGGCACACTGTCATATTCATCATTAGCCCGGAGTATGTGGAGTGATGGCAGAGAGCATCATGAGAGGAATGTTGATGGCTGCTGAAGTGCTGAAGACAAAAGGAAGAAAAAACAGAATCCAAATCTTAATACCTTTCCCAGACCCTTTACAAGATTGATTGTTTTCTGCTGATCTAATTTTGGATCATACAAAAACAACCCATTTATCTTGAAGAAAGATGATGTGCTACATGGTGCAGATGGATTTTTTCCCCTTTTTTTTGGTGAAAGCTGGAAAAGATTAAAGAGAAACTCTGCTCCTCAGCTATAATTACGAGCTGTAGATTACTCTGTCGATTTTACCAGATGGCAGTCTYGATTCTGCAGGCCCTTTTCTGTATATTAATGAACAGCAGTCTGTTATATTTGACTTAGGTAAGTGAAATGTCCATCACCTGTAATGGTCTGCCAGCTGGCACGATGCATTTTGCACCACTTTGGGTCCACTTGGCATTTTTCATATGCAAGGAAATTTCTGCTCTCCGTTTTCTGCCATTGTGATAAATATTTTTTTCACTAAGAGGGGAAAAAAAATCCCCTGTCCAACTTGTGTCCACAGCTAATTTCCTCTTGTATGTCCAAGCAATACTTTTCGTACTAAAACTGTAATTCTGAACATGGACCATATGTTTCACAAAAAAAGATTAGCTGCAAACAATACAGTAACTTAATTAACCTCTTAATCATCAACATACTGCCCACAGTTCATTCTCATTTTGTGTTTACTTMTTCCCTCTTGATAGCCTACCAGGGACTTTGAATTTGCACAATAGGCTTTTCAAATAATTCAGTTGGCTGTCTTCTTTCGATTGACACCTCTTTTGACCAACTGGGTTCATCTATAAGTTCTCCAGAGCCCAAAATGTATGTGTCCCACCTAGTCGTGGTACACGTGAYTGATTGACTAGAATTGACCAATCAGCTCTGAGCTTCATTCTGATGCCACAGCTGTGTAGCCAATCAAGTTACCTTTTATTCCATATGCAGTTTTGGAAATGTACAAAAAAAGTTTGTGTTTTAACTTAAATAACTAAGTAATAATTGTAGTTCCAAAAAAATAGTTAGGGTTAGGACCACAAAATTGAGCAAATAGCGAAGCACTTGCTATCACTGCCTGCTGCAGAAACATGGGTGATATTGTATTTGCTTGTACGTGTTTTAAGTCTCTGTTAGCAAAACAAATCTCATAAACCAATGAACAGATTTWAATGAAACTCTCAGAACATAATGCTTGGATTTACATTTACAGCTGATGAAACATCAGTCAACCCGATCCAAGATGACCGTCACAGCTAACTTAGTAAATACAAAACTGTCAAAACTGTGTAAACCTCAGTCAAATTTACAGATATTGAGCTAAAAGTTTGTGTTGTAGTAGCTGAGTGCCAAAAGAATGCACATTACTTAAAACTTTATCATTAACTRTTGGAAGTAAGCATTTTTWAAATAAATCTCTCAGTAAATAATCATTGAACATACATTTACAACTGATTCAATGTGTAGTCAACTTATTGGCAGCCACAGCTAYTCAAACTTAACACTGAAGATAATATTGAGAAAAAATCTGGCGTGGTAGTATCTGACACTCATCCACAACATGTTCTGTAAAGGCTCAGTAAWAGTTGTGCTTTTGAGTGTGGCGCAGGGCTCAGCTGACGGCACGTGCACCCTCGCAAGCGATGTAGACATTTATACTAGATGTTTAGGCTGGTACGGTAATCTTTGAAAGGACATGTGGCAGTACACTTTATAATTTGTGAAATATTCTAAAAARGGACAACAGACGCTTGGCGGAATAAACAGTTTGAACAGAGCATGAAGGCGCCGCAACACGGAGTGGGGCCAACCTGCAGGGATGGCATGATTGCACCACTGTTGACGCACGCACCTTCACTCCGTCTTCAAAGTCTCAACTATTAACCTAGCTTAAGTGCTAACAGATTGCATAAGATTTCACAATATCGCATAAGATTTCTAAGATTAAAATGGCTGTTCTGAAAGGCAATAGGTATTATATATTTCTTAAAGGAATATTAGACCCTGATTTTCTAACGTTGCACCTAAACAAATAATTTCTGCTGCCTTCATGAAACAACTGTCTTAATGACTTATTTAGTTCAATGCATTCAAGACAAGTTTGCTAAAGAAACTGATTGTCTTTGTCTTAGAATGTCAGTGTGAAGAGACCACCGAAAACCCAAGGAGGCTTTGAACACATGTTTGCCAGGCGGAGCACCCAGAAACTCCCTTCATGAATATGCCAAGCCTAAATTTAACCCAACAGCGAGTGGTGGGGGGTGTGGACTTTGGCTGCGTTTCCCAGCCGGAGAGCACGAACAGCGAGTGCAGCACAATGCCAGCGTGTCATACATTTAAACACGCTTAAATTAAAGGCTGTTTACTGTTCGCCGAGGCCATTCATCTTCCTCAACGTTGGTCTGCTTCTTGCAAATTTGTCAGTAAGAGCTTCCACATGCCAAGGAGGAGGAAAGGGAGGGAGAGAAAAAAAAGTTGGGGTTATCAGAGGCGGGTTTTCGTAGCATGTCTCTTCAGTCAGCCTGTAGTTAATTAGCCACCTCCACACAATAAGGCCATAAGTCATTAATCACCCGAACCACAGCAGAAGTCGACTCACTGCAAGCAAGACGTTTGGAGACAAAAAGTTTGCCGCCTATGACAGGCTTCAAAATGGCCCCTGTCAGTGGTGTTTAAATTATAGGGCATGTTGAGCGCTGAAAGACAAGGGCCCACTGTTTAACTCACTGTTGCTCTTTCCATAGCTTTGTGTGTTGACAAGCGCTCTTCAAAAGAAAATTCCCCTCTCCTCTGCCTCCCATTGGCTGGCTTATAACTGACAAAGATTCCCACTCTAGGATAATCTCGGCACACCAAGATRATTTCCTCTGTTTTCCGATGTAGGATTAACCGAAGAAGACAAACAACAAAGGTCAGCGGCTCTGTAAAACCCAGCTTCAGCTTTGAATTCCTAACGTTTGCTCGCTTGTCAAACAGAGGAAATGATGGGCTGATGATAAATTTGGGGCTTGTTTTGAGAAGCCAAAGCCTTTCTCTTGCAAAAATAAACCAGCATGTTTCTCTGGATGATGGACGACACACTTTTCAGCTGACTGAACATACAAAAGGTCATAATTTTTTTTTTATCCCTTGTGTGCCTATAAACAGAGATTTGCTCGCTTTTCCAGAGAAAGTATGCACAGAGGAAAGTTTACTCAACGCAGCCAATGTTTGTGTAACTTTGGGAAATCCCTTGATTACACCATTAATATTGCTGACAAAAGGGTGTTAAATTCATTTTGGGACTGCAACGTTTGTGACACGTGTTTGAAAGCTGGTTGATATTTCCTGTATAGAGAAAACGCCGTTTTCATCCCTGACCGTGGGCGTTTTTGAGRAGGAACATCAGTTTAGCGTAGCGATGATGTCTGCAGCCTTCAACCGTAAAGAGCCACAAACTGAGCAACACATGGCAGCCAGCTGAGCTGAAGTGACCGTTTTTAAACACACCCTCAGGTGCGAAGCTGAGTTTCTCCTTGCATTTGGTCCTAGTAAACTTTTTCTTTTTTTAAATTAGTTTAAAGCTAGTTTAAACAAGCTATAAATAAGCTATAGTTTAAACAATATAGGGATAAARTATTCAATTTAGACCAAACTGTTTGAAATTGGCGCTATTCTTTATACTGTRCATGCAAAAAGCAGATTTAAAGGCTTTCTATAGAAAAATGTAGTTTCTTCTTTGCTCAAATATAATTCTAGTATTACTGCTGGTGCCTAATGTTAAGGTTAGTTTTTACTTTATACTTGTACTACTAGTTAAAGCCAGCTGATTATTACAAAACCTCTATACTAGTAAAAATATGTGATTAATTTGTGTTAAAACAAACTTGAATTTTGCTCCKAAGAAGTGTATTATCAACACTAAACTTATTATTCTATCCATTTGTTGGAATAACTTATTTATCAAAATTCCTTTAGAGACATTAAAAATATTAAATGTAAAGGCACTCTGTATAATTAATATGAAGCCTAAATGTGACCTAGCCAAAAGCCTTCTAAAATGTCTAACATATAATTTTATATTTATAAATTGTATTTGAACATGTCATAAATAGGCTGTAGTGAATATTAAGTGTATACAAATGTTTTGGATTAATAAACATAAAACATTTTCTGCTTTTCCTAAATTTGGGATGGAATTAAAATGTTATAAACCGAATCATTTTGGTGTAGAATTTTTTGTATTTTCACTTTTTGTAACTCAGAATCACTTGAATTTCAGTAAAAGTTTGCAATGGCTTGTTTAAATTTCTGACTTTGTTCTTGTGGTGATGTTTTTTCTCCTGTTTGTTTAGACTTTAGTAAAATGKGCATAAAGAAATCAAAAAGATTATAAAACCTGACTAGTCAATAGCATTAAAAGATGAGTTAAAACAACATTGCACATGCTCAGATAGCTAAATAAAAAAACTCACTGTCAGAACATTTATTATAAAAGCACAGAAACACAGCTGTAGTTCTACATGTTCATCCTAAAAATCAAAATAATTTCTCATCAAATACATTCAAATTAAATATCCTCCATAACTGAACTGGTCTATTTGCTCTTGCATGAGAAGATGCATAAATCTTTCTGTCACACATCAGTCAGGCTTTGAGAAATGACTTTTTAGATCTTCGTTTGTTCACATTATATTAATGTTTGGAAGTGAAGAGAAATGCATTGCAGACGACCCACTCTGGCTTCATGGCTGACTGGCTGCGATGCTGAATTGTGGGGCAACGGCTTTATTACCATCTATCACAGAGCTATGTTTAGGCCTCATCTACATGACGGATGGGTGGATTTGATGTAGACGACATCTGACCGTACTGATTTTACTGCTGGAGAGCGGCCTGATTTACAGAGGATGGATAATGACACTGTTGGCTTAATTTAGCTGATTTGTTTGAACAGATTGATTAAATACTTAAAACCCTCTTTTTGTTCGTGCTTCATAGCCTCATTAGAGTGATCACAAAAGCTCTGAAAGYGTCCCACATCTGTGCCACAGTAAATTTTTGTTTTGACAGCTTCTCACTCACATCTTTTATTGTCTTAAATGAATTAATAATCTGCAGTTTTGAGAAGATTTGAGTTCTAATGCAGCAAGGTTTGTAAGTGGCTTTAGCTTCTTTTTTAATCATAAAAAAACCATTTGTGCATGCTTATTTGATTCTATTTTATGTGTTTGATATAAAAACATGCATCTGTAGGCCCATTTCAAAGCTCGTAGTCACACTCATGTGACACCACCTCATAAAACGATACAGTTCTGCAAATAAGAGGAACATTTTCCGGGATTATTTTGATTTTAAATATTTGCCATGCTTTTCATAACCCCGGTGCAAAGTATCATTCATAAGAGTAATGATATATTTATATCTTAATGCTGACTTGATCCAAATGAGTTTATTCTGCGTTTTAAAAATAAAATCCTGTCTCAAATGGAGCAAAAATAGACAAATGTACACAGTTTCAGAGCTGTGGTGCTCTGAAAATATCAGATGAAAAAGAGGCTCCATGCACTACTTTGCTTTCTACACAATAAATCAATTCCATCCCTAAAAAAGTTTCTTTGATTATTTTTTTTATTTCACTTTCATCATGCTGTCAAAACTCCCAATCCGTCTGGGTGCAGCGAAGCTACGATAATATTTGCTTTGGAGTCCACCTTTTATTTGAAATACAAAATAAAATCTATTATCGAGTCCCATTTACTTTTGCTCAAACTGAAACTTTGGAATGCAAAAGATATTTCCTGTGTAAAATAATGCACATTGAGGCATGTCAAATTTATATTATAATATTGTTTTTTTATTTTAGTCACGCTTGAAGCTATCGCCAATAAATACACTGATCCTGACATGGATCCAGTCCCTGCATGAAATACAATATAAAACTCATTAGGCCTAAATCTCCTTTATAAACGTATAATTCTTTGTTACTACTGGTATCCTAAGGCCGAGGCTGTTGTCAGTCTTTGTCCATACAATGCGTACGGGGAGTAATATGGCCCAGTGGCTGCAGGCACCGGCACTGGAGCCCCGGGGGTTGGCAGGGGACTCTTTGAATACGGGTGATAACGGCTGCTGAGTCCGAGGGGGTGATGAGGGCCCCTGAGGGCCAGCGTGCTGGGGCTGCCCGGGCTGCCGTTAGGAGGAATATGCATGTGACAAGCCATAGCAGCGGCGGCAGCGGCGTTTGCAAGAGAGGTCGACCCCGGATACCCAGATATCAACTTCTCTGTGCCGGCGAAGGCCGTGTGAGTCCGCAAGTGGCTGAGGAGCTCCTCAGAGGACGCAAAGCGCTTATCACAAGGTCCGTTAGCAGACACCCAGTTGCAAACATGCGGGAGGGGGTCGTTGGGTAACATGAAGCCGTAGGGATACAAGGGGTGTCCAGTAAAAGACGGGGCTGAGGTGTGCATGCTGTGTAATGGGTGCGCCGGGTACATGAGCGGGTATCCAGACTTAAGAGCGTTGGCTGCAACCGCCGCAGCAGCAGCAGAGTCATGTGAGCAGTTAGAGGTGGACGCTCCAGACAAATGGCTCGTGCAGTGGTAGCTCAGGCAGTAGGGGTCTCTACACAGACTGGCAGACATTAACGACGGTGGGGATGCTCCAGCCAGGGGGCTTGTTCCAGTTTTACTGCACCCCAAAGAGCTGGCAGCAGCAAACTGCGCGCTTAGGAGCTGGTTGCTGGATTTGGTGGGATCAAGGGTCATTCCGGGTGGGAGAAACGGCTGCGGGTAACCTGCATAAGCCCCCGCTAAACTTCCAGGGTAGGACATACCAGCAGAGGACAAAGGGAAAACTGTATGGCCGGGCTTGTAGGGGGAGACGGGCGCCACCAGTCCAGAGCTGAGAAYAGAGGAGGATGATGAGGTTACAGATATGGAGTCTGATGTCACAGTCTTGGATCCAGATGTGTTTTCTTGGTTACTATCAGAGGTAATTCCGTTTATCTTTTGGCTCCCACCGCTCTCTGTGGTGCTGCTTTTATTGCAGTCAGACTCCTTTTTGTCCTCTTTKTCAATCGCCTTACTTTCAGAAGGAAGTGGAGAAATGGAGGTGCACGAGCTGGGGCTGCTTGTCCTGGGAGTGAACGGCTGGCAGGTGGCGCTAGGCACTCGAAAACTGTTTTTATCTCCACTGAGGCTGCTGCTCGAGTCCTTCTTCTCTGACGATTTGGAGTAAGGTTTAAAGCTGGATTTGTCTTCGGCTCCAATGTCGCTCATTTTCAGTGGCCCAGATTTGCTCTCCTTCTCACTAGATCCATTTGAAGCCACGGAGGAGAGCTTGGATGAGGACGGCGGGTCCGGTTTGCCGATCTGTGAGCACGTTTGGGCCAGAAGGGCCAGCGGACTCTTCTTGGCATCCAGCTGCAAGAAAATAACAGAAAACAAAATGTGTGAAAACCATAAAACACGTATTCATGCATATGAGCAATCATTTTGTATTCGAGGTTTGCAAAGGTGATCGTTCCGCGTATTTTACGCACTGCGCACAAAACTTATGTCGGGAAAAACTGCATAATAAGCTCATTCACGTAGCAGGTTTACACACTGAGATTTCCAAAACGATATTTCAAATATAGTCAAAAATTTGCAATCAGAGATTATCATCATCATGATATGTATTTTTTCTATATTAGACCATATTTGTCTGCTTAAATAAGGCAAACAAACAGAAAACAAATCAAACGCGTAATCAGGTGAAAAGCAACACTTATGTCTACAAATAGGAAACACCGATGTCCTGAAAGTTTTGGTGTGATTTTAGGACCCCCCCCCCCCACACACACACACACAATGGTTAAAAATCAAGACTGTTATTATCAGCATGCGTGCGTCACGTTTACAAAAACTATTTTATTTTTAAAGATTTACCTCAATGGGGCTGATAGGAGTAGAAGGTAGAGGCTGGAGGTACTCCGGGTGTAAAATGTGTCCTGCCCGAGCCGTGAGCATTTTCAAAACCTTTATGGGGAGACGGCTGGCTTGACGAGAAGGGTCTGCGGGAGAGACGGAGTTGTGGATGGATAGTTGGCTGATCTTCGCTGCTCCCTTCTCCCTCGAGGAGGAGCCGCTCTCCCACGCTGGATTCGTGCTATTTCTCAGGACAGAGACCGTGGGCGATGTGATCATGACCCAATTTTCGTACAAATGGTTGAAAAAGGCATGTGTGACGGGGAGACAGAGAGCCAAAAATAAAAAGGTCTGAAGGTTAAAGCCTCCTCCAAGAATAAAATAAACGACAGAATATCCTTTAAAGCAGACGCGGAACGCGTGAGCAGAGTCCGTGCGATTCAGAGCAGCGCTGCTTCCTCCCCCGGCGACGCTCGAACAGTGCGGCTTCAGGTCCGAGAGCGAACTTGTGCGTCTTGGGCAGGAGGGATCACTCCGCCTCCTCCGGAGCCGCGCGTCTTCAATCACTTGGCAGATCACCGCCTCTCTGCATCCTCCCGATCAAATAGAGATCCCAACAGGATGGAGCGTTGAAGCAACGTGACGTTTCCTCMTCACACTGGCGTCTGTTTGAGTTTTGCGCCACAATCAGGGTTTGAATTTTGAGATTTTTTATCTGCGCTTTTTGCGTAATTTGGCAACTGGAACGCATGCGCTGTTCCTCCTGCGTCCTGTGCGTAATTTTTGGGTTTCTGGACCACACATTACAAGATAACTAATTAACCTTTCATAACAAAACATTTCTTTAAAAAGTTTGCAAAAGAGAAAGTTGTTGCGCCATACAAAACGTTGACACAAAACATATTGTATTTTTTTGTGACGTTACGCGCATCAATCTGTTGCCCAGGTCCACGTTTTCTCCAGCTCYCCCGTTTTCAATCACGCAGCTGGCATGCAGGACAGGATACTGACATATGACAGGCTATCTGTCAGCTGTCTGCTGGCTTTTYCCCTCCTGCCTCTCCTCTGTCAGATTGAGGTCAAGTGAACCCATAAAAAGCAAAGAGAAGATTTCTCATTCCTTTACTCGTCAGTCATAATTTAGGCCATCTGCTCCTTTACAAACAGATGATTTAATTGAAGATAAACTCGATAAGGCATTTCATGGAAAGCTTGGCGTAAATGAAATATACACTCACCGGCCACTTTATTAGGTACACCACGCTAGTAACGGGTTAGACCCCCTTTTGCCTTCAGAACTGCCTCAATTCTTCGTGGCATAGATTCAACAAGGTGCTGGAAGCATTCCTCAGAGATTTTGGTCCATATTGACATGATGGAATCACACAGTTGCCGCAGATTTGTCAGCTGCACATCCATGATGCGAATCTCCCGTTCCACCACATCCCAAAGATGCTCTATTGGATTGAGATCTGGTGACTGTGGAGGCCATTTGAGTACAGTGAACTCATTGTCATGTTCAAGAAACCAGTCTGAGATGATTCCACCTTTATGACATGGCGCATTATCCTGCTGAAAGTAGCCATCAGATGTTGGGTACATTGTGGTCATTAAGGGATGGACATGGTCAGCAACAATACTCAGGGAGGCTGTGGCGTTGCAACGATGCTCAATTGGTACCAAGGGGCCCAAAGAGTGCCAAGAAAAGATTCCCCACACCATGACACCACCACCACCAGCCTGAACCGTTGATACAAGGCAGGATGGATCCATGCTTTCATGTTGTTGACGCCAAATTCTGACCCTACCATCCGAATGTCGCAGCAGAAATCGAGACTCATCAGACCAAACACTCCAATCTTCTCTTGTCCAATTTCGATGAGCTTGTGCAAATTGTAGCCTCAGTTTCCTGTTCTTAGCTGAAAGGAGTGGCACCCGGTGTGGTATTCTGCTGCTGAAGCCCATCTGCCTCAAAGTTCGACATGTTGTGTGTTCAGAGATGCTCTTCTGCCTACCTTGGTTGTAACGGGTGGTTATTTGAGTCACTGTTGCCTTTCTATCAGCTCGAACCAGTCTGCCCATTCTCCTCTGACCTCTGGCATCAAAAAGGCATTTCTGCCCACAGGACTGCCACTCACTGGATGTTTTTTTCTTTTGCGGACCATTCTCTGTAAACCCTAGAGATGGTTGTGCGTGAAAATCCCAGTAGATCAGCAGTTTCTGAAATACTCAGACCAGCCCTTCTGGCACCAACAACCATGCCACGTTCAAAGGCACTCAAATCACCTTTCTTCCCCATACTGATGCTCGGTTTGAACTGCAGGAGATTGTCTTGTCCATGTCTACATACCTAAATGCACTGAGTTGCCGCCATGTGATTGGCTGATTAGAAATTAAGTGTTAACGAGCAGTTGGACAGGTGTACCTAATAAAGTGGCCGGTGAGTGTATATATATATAATTCTTTCTGCAAATTAAATTCCTATATATTCCCTCCACATTTGCGCAGAAGARATCCTTGTTTTCATTCCAAGAGTGCGTAAAAACTGTCCTGCGCACCGCCATTAATCATTAAAGCGTCCACATTTCTTCCCATCCAAACAGACCCACTTATCTTATTACTCAATAGCCTATAAATGTCTTGCTGATCAGGCGAAAGTTAAACATATGCAAGTGTTTTTTGATTGATAACAGGGGGGGCTGTTTTCGGCAACGGCTGTCAGGGTCTGACACAGCGCTTTGAGTTATTAGGGCAGAGAAGGGCGACCATAAATTTCGACCGTCAGGCAAAAACTCCTTTATTGTGGACGTGATGGATGGCTCGCAGCGGCAGACACCAAATTCTCGGCTTTATCCTTAAATGGCTGCAGATTTTTTTTCTCCTCCTCCTCCTCCTTCCCCAGGAGTAATCCATTACTTTTTAACAGAAAGCTTGAACTCCTCCGCTTGTATTTCACAGCAGGGCTCGTTTATGCAAATTGCAAGTTTAGATGCTGTTTTTCTTGGCAGTCATACAGGAAGAAAACTTTATAATATTTATAACAATGTTGAGGAAATKTGTGTTGTTTTCCCTTCCAGCTTAAGTTTAATTACAAATTGTGGTATAGAATGTCAGAATTTATTGTTGGACAAAGTCAAAAGGAGTGGAAACTTTTTTTTTTTCTGATTGGAAAGATGTCTTTAGGCAGTTTTAGGCAATTGAGCAGTTTTATGTCAAGCATTCCAAATTGAGGCCAAAGTATCAACTTAAATTATAGGTTGTAGTTTACAAAAGGCTTTTCTGAGCATTGAATTTGCTAAGGCCAGAGAGAAACCCAAAATTAAACATATACAATCAAGATGGTGATTCTATTTTAAAGAGACTTGTTTAAACTTAAGGCATTTTCATTTTATTTTAGATTTTATTTAACTTGAATGTGCTGACAAGTTTTCTTCATTCTGCAGGCTGTAATGTGTAACTTAGGTTTTTGCCCATGTCTAAAAATTTTGTCTGTATTGTCAGCAAAAATATTTCATGAATAAAACTGTCAAAAATAATTATTGGCTGCTGATAGTTGATGACATCAATCCAATTCAAGATGCTGCAGCTGATTAACCTTAAATTCCATAAAACAGCTGAAACTCAGCCAATTTTGCAGATATTAGACTAAAATTTGGTATGGTAGTTGCTGACATTCATTTACAACACATAGTTTAAGTGCTAACAGACCAGGCAATATATCACAATATTGCATGAGATCAATCATACTAAAATAGATTGGTCATCTCTCAGTAGTTATGATGTAAAACTCTGAAAAGTGGCAGGTGCACTACTTAAAGACTGTTTCTGAGCTGAAATTATGCTTTTAATGTGCATTTGGAATTCCATAATTTATCATCAAGGCAGATAAAACAACTCTTAAACTCACTGTGACAGCAACTAAATTGTACGTAGTTTTTGTATATTCCAGCTCTGAAGGCTGATCGTTGCTACTGGGCTGATTAGAAAAATACATGTATTAGTCTGGTCTAAATTAGATTGTGTCGAGCGTTTGTTTCCTGTAACAGCAGCTAAACACATGATAAAGCGTAAAAGTAATGTTATTGTGGACACGTTAAAGGTTGCCGGCTGCGCAGGAGGAGATTTATCCGAACACGATGAGAAGCCGTGTCCCTGCTCCAGTCTGGATGTTCCTTCGAAATCAAACTTAAACCATCAGAATGTCAGAAAACTTGGGCTCAGAAATCTCTTGACATATAGGTTTCAGAAATGGCTATGGATGATAAATGCWGCATTAATATGTCAAGCAAATCGAATAAGAAATTCCCCTCGAGATGACATGAAAATTCACCCCGTGGCAGCCGGCGCGGGGTGTCAGCAGCCAGACAGGCCGACTGGATCTGACAGGTAAAAAGGCGAGATGATGGTTAGAAGGTGCTATTGTTCCACGTCGCTTTCTTGACCTGTCAGGTCCCGTTGCAGAGGCCTGGATCGAGGACTTCCTTGTCACATGAAAACAATCTTAAAAGGCTGTTCTCCAGACTATGGCGATTGCTCCTGTTTAATTGATTTGCTTTGCACTGAGGCCTGTCACATTAATAATGGTTAAGTACAGCCCCAGCGTGTCACCCACTGCGGTGCGTCTATCAGGAAATTAACAGCCTTAACTAACTGCTGTCTGTGAAGCAGGAACTGCAGTTTCATACGAGATGCAGCACTTTTATAYCAAGGCTGAAACTATAGAAAACGTGGTAAATTTCCACCTTTCTCGTTTTCACCTATTCATTCATATATGTCTGCATACATATATATTTCCATCTCATTATGGCCAGCCATATAAAGTGAAACGGAGAGCTACACTGACAAGTAAGTGGCGCTGAGTGAATAAAACTCAGATTATGCTCCCCAGCACTTCACAGGAGCCYTTGACAGGTTGCACTAGACATTAAGTCATTTTGATATTTTCATGACTGACTGACAGTTAGAAATTGCTCCCATCACCTTGATAGCATGGTAATGCACCTTGCATGTGGACTGTCTTTAAAGTGCAGGAAATTAGACTCCAAGTTCAGAGTCCCCACCCCCCTCTTCCCTTCAGGAGAATATGACAAGAAAATAGACTGCTTTTCTTCTGCGCCCAGAGAGGGGGAAAAAGGCCCCACAGAAGCTGGCAAAGAATGAGTGGTTATAGGCGAACGTGTCAAGAAGTATTACAGATATTATGTGCTCAAGACAGGACGTTTCAGATACTTAGAAGTCATACCCATTCTCTTCGACTACATCCAAGATTTCCCCCCCCCAGCCTCCATCTGCGTCAAAGAGTGTAGCCTGACTTCATTTGCAAGAGCTCAAACTCGAAGGTGACACGGAGAACTTACAGGATCTCACCGGAAGTCAGAGGAATCGGCCTCGGCGTGACGGTGAGACTTAAAAAACTTGAGGTGCAGCCAAGATCGCRGCGGTGAAGGGTCTTTTTCACTTTGTCTCCTCGATTAGTTAAAGCTGGTCAGGAGCAGGAAAATAAAGCCTGTAGAGATGACGTGCTGTCGTCCACTTGCCATCAGGTGGGTGAAGAATCGCTGTGGGTTGCAGTCATGCTGTAGAGAATAGTTAACTTCACCTAACCCTCCCCGTTAAACTCTGGAACCGCTCGTTCWATTCAACCTGACAGCT